CATAACTAACTGTTATATGTTGAGAGAAAAAGTGTGAGATTTTTCCTATTTTTTCATTATGGTACTGTTATTTTTTTTTAAATAAAATGTGATTATTCAACAAAAGAAAATATTTGAAAATATAAAAGTCAACAAATACTTAACTCGCTTGTAATCTATAATTACCCAGATTGTATTTAGCGTTAGCCAGATTGGGTTTCGTGATATTTAAAGTAGACACAAATAACTAGCTGTGCCTCGCGGTTCCACGCGCGTTAAATTTGTTTGATAATAAACATCAGTTTTGCGATATTGTGTATGGAAGTCTGTCCGATTTGTTGACACTTAAGGTTACTGATGGTAAGATGGGAGAGCATGATTATGTATATAGCCTATAGCCTTCCTCAATAAATGGGCTATCTAATGCAAAAATGATTTTTCAAATCAGATTAGTAGTTCCTGAGATTAGCGCATTCAAACAAACAAACAAACTCTGCCTCTTTATAATATTAGTATAGATTTGACCACCACACCAGTTGTCGTAAAATAATAATATTTTAATGTGACTAAATGAGAGGTTTCTTCAATTAAATAGAATGAGAGCTTTCATCTTCGTAGGCCATTAGACTGTCGCTATATCTGTGAGTGTGACCACAAGCCGCCTGATTACGTGCGATACGTGCTTAACATATTTGACATTCGAAGCCTCCCCGCTCCCTCCTCCGCTCGGGATACCTCATACATAGCTGATGCGATTTGCACTTCAATGATATTTTCATATTGTGCAAGTATATGCTCTTCCTACAGTATTAACATCTAAAGTTACTAAAAATATACCGTCTTAAAGCTACCAAACTAGGGGTGTTATTTTTATTGAAAATGATGTAGGACATTTAACCAACTTCTTTCGTTAAAACATCATTTTTAAAATCTAACACTACATACATCAATAACAAGAATCTTTGTTAATATTAACATGAATTGGAAACTCATTATACTTTGAATAGGAGTGCTACGTATTAATGTTATATCAATTATATCCAACGAAACCTTGTTTATTAAAAAAAAAAACTAGGTTTTTTTTTTAATTTATATTTATTCTAAATAATAAATTTGTTGTATTTAAAGGTTCTTAGAACAATAGATATTTCTTAATTGAATGAAATATATAATGAAAATAAATCATATCTAGTAAGATGTATAATATGACGGCCGTGATACATCAGCGCGTAATCCCGCGTCAGAGTGACAGGCGGCTGACCGGCGACTACGACTGTGTCTGTGAATCTGTGTTGTACATAAACTATAACTGAACATCACTGTATGTTATTATATATATACATATTATGTATGTTCAATTCCACAGCTTTGCTTCTAGTAAGTAGTGTACATTCTGGTTCTGAAATTGCGTATCTCTGAAGGTATTATGGACTAGCGACTCATCCTCGCTTCGCTCGCGTTCGTCCCTACCTTACCTACCTTGCTTGCCTACACAAACTTTCACCCCCATTTCTACACTCTTAAGGGATGATCTTCCGGGATAAAGATTCTATGTCCTTCCCAGGGTCTGAACTATCTTCTTACCAAATTTCATCTAAATCGGTTCTGTAGTTTCGGAGATTATTCGATACAAACAAACAAAAAGAAACAAATTTTTCTTCTTCACAATATTTGAATAGACAACCGCTTTTATTTCTTACCTCTTTTACATATTATGTAACTTGACATTGTGAGAAAATAAATATTCTATGGTGAAATGGGTTTTACTGATTTCATTGTTTTTTTTCTTTCGATTTACCAATTAGCGTTACGTGGTTCAATAAAGACATTTAGAAGACGTTCATTAGTTCACGTAGACTCGAACAATCCAAATATACTCGTATATCTTTCGCATGGAAATCACAATAAGTTCATGAGTACATTTTTCTACATGGGAATTCCATGAAAAAGTTCTACTTTTTAATTGACTTCAAAATTACTTAACAGTAATATTCTGATGGTAATTATATTATATTATTCTAGTTATATATAGCAAGTTTTTGAAAGACATGTGAAGTCCGCCAACCCGCACTTGGCCAGCGTGGTGGACTATGGCCTGATCCCTTCGTATTGAAGGGAGGCCCGTGCTCAGCAGTGGGACTTTAAAAAAAGGGCTGAATACATACATACATACATTCTAGCTATAAGCATTTTTTTAAATTATATAAAACCTCCCTTGACGTACCTTATACGTTATATTAAAAACTTGAAATAATATCGATTCACGATCATATCTCGTAACATACACACACACTAAAAGTACAGCAAATTGAATTCTTCTTCCTATTTAAAGTCGGTCAAAAATATTACAATACAACATTACTTATTAAATTGAATTCACTTAAGTATATCAAAAGTTTACGAATACTGATAGGTGGAGCAGAGGTCCTGATGGGGTCTCTTGACAAATTGGACGCTCCCTAATCCGCACTCGCGACGGTCGCTTCTGTCACGGTTTGATTATACTCGTACCAGCAGACATTTTCTCTCATTAAGCTTTTACTCAGCAAGTAATCAATGGCATTAATTTAAATTACATCAAATTTTCTCCATAAACGAATTAATACAGTATCGTAAAACTGTTGTTAAGTAGATTAAACTTAAAAAAATCTGATAGATATTAATGATCTAAAAAACAAAAAAAGCTGTATATATTACTAGCGACTCACCCTCGTTTCGCTCGGGTTCGTCCCTAGGTACGTTTTAAATTAAAATGGATATAGTATGTTATCCTTAAGAGATAGACATATGCCATCGCGGACTTTTCTGTAGACCTATATAAGATACACAATTCCACAATACATTATATTGTTATATCTCAAAGGGTTTAGGCAGCGTTTTCGTTGAAAGCTCCCAGACGTCTTATTTTTTCCGACACCTCCAACAAATATCGTTATATTTTAGCCAATGTATACAAAAACTTAACAAATTATATATTAAAACCTTCCTCTTGAATCACTCTATCTATTAAAAAACCGCATCAAAATCCGTTGCGTAGTTTTAAAGATTTAAGCATACATAGGGATATAGGGACAGAGAAAGCGACTTTGTTTTATACTACATATGTACTTAACTTTGCTCATGTCCTACCTCTTTCTTCCCTGTTACACATTTTACATGTTTTTAGTAGCTTGAGAAATTTTTAATAATATTACGGGTAACTATATTTTTCTTATGTTGCTGTATTTAGCTTTCGAGCGGTGGACATCGAGTAGGAAGCGCTCAAATTATTTGCGAAACAAACTTCACACATGGTCCCAGCTCCATGTTTCTAGTGCGTTATTACATAATAAATAGCTTGCATTAATGTTAACTACTGCAATAAACGCAAGCGAGAGTAAGTAAATAATAACGTATTGCCTGCAATGTGATATCTCATTCATACAGAATTAAATGATAAAATATCTTTATTGCAGACGCTGAACTAAGATTTATGAGTGTTTGTTTATTGATAATATAAAAAGATTGCCTATATTTAGATACCATGATGTACTTCAAGCATTTATTGACGGTGGAAAATAGCTTAATATACAGATGGACCTGGAGTAACTCTAGGAAGCACCTAGTTATATATAACTAGCGACCTACTATTATCATACTAAATTTCATCAAAATCTGTCCAGTAGTTTTCTCGTGATGCGTTCGTATACAACAGACAGGTAAAATTATTAATTTAAATTATTAATATAATAATGATAAATTTTAGAAACTATACATTCGGCCTCTGTATCGATAATAACGACTATTTCAAAAAGATTTTCCATAATACTTTCTTAGATTTACGCGAATATTTGACATTTTAAATAAAACTATCTTTTCGGATTTTGTCGCGGATTTATTTACATTTTTGTTTCCCGACGTTTCGAATGCTTTACAGCATCCATGGTCACGGGAGAGACTGAGGTGTTACATGTCTTGGAGGTATAGTTGTTACAGACAGCCTACCCACAATTAACAAAAGATTTTCCATACAATATTTAATGTACAGATTCGACTCAGTTAGAATTTTATTATATGTATAGATTAAAGTAACAAAAGTAAAATAATATATAGTAATTATATCATTTAAAATGCAATTATTCCTTAAATAAATTGATTCCATTGTTGTATTTTGCTTCCCGAACGAGAGCAGTGGCGTGAATGGACGGGCCGGGGCTCACTGGCGTGGTGTAGACATGTCACGAGAGACAGATCGGCAAATTGGAGCGTTCCTAATCTCGCATTTTCACCGAGCGGACAGATCAGACACTGACAGCCTTTGATTGGTCCGAGCCCGCTCTGCCTCGTAAGTGCTATCTGGCGTTATCGACAATACTGCCAGCGGTTTCAAAGCGTTGTGATAAAATTGTAATGTAGAAAGTAACTCCGTTTTGAAACTTCACCATTTGGTCAAAAAATTTTTATATCAGAGTAAATAATTCTCTGCCGCGATATAACTTGTAATCTCTGTTGTAGCATGATATACAAACTCCATAATATTATATAAAACTAGCATTGCCCGCGGCTCCACTCGTGTTCAGATGTCCAAAAATCAAATTCTTAGGTTTTACATAGTAGTATACTCTTACATTGCAGTTTTTGTATTTTTTCTCAGAAATGAGATATTTTCCCGAGGTAAAAAGTATCCTATACCCGGATAACCAGGTATCATCGTACCAAATTTCAACAAAATCCCTCCAGTAGTTTTTCCGTGATGCGGTAACAAACAGACAGACAGACAGACAGACAAAAATTCTAAAAACTATAGATTCGGCCTCTGTATCGATAATAATGTTTATTTCAATAAGATTTTCCAAAAAAACATTAAATGTACAGATTCGGCTTAGTTACAATTTTATTATATGTATAGATTTGTATTTGTACGAAATATTTCACAATAGAACAATACAAATGCACCAATCATCATCATCAATAAACTTTTTAACATTCCATTTAGCGAATGAAAAACAACGTCCAGAATAATAAGAATAACACATAAATCAAGTCGGAGCTGCGAACGTCATTGGAACTACGGCGGGAGCCGCCGCAGTAGATTCAGTTGATCTCAATAATATCCCGATGAAACAAGCGGGATTATAATGTAAATATATGCAAATGTGGCAACAGGCGAAGGCCGCGGGCGACGGCGATGTGCGCTCCATTGCGGACTGTGTGTTCGAAGTACGGGAACTGATGATACCTGTATTTGCTTATAAAATTTAAATAGTATCTTATTTAAAATGAATTTCACTTAACTTTCTTTATGTTCTATGCACTTGTTGTAGCGAGATTGGTAGATAAATAACTTAAGCTTAAATAATATGATTAATTTAAACGATCGGTTGATATAAAGAATGAATCAAAAATATAATTTATTAATGTAAATTCTAAATATCATAAAAATCTTAGCTTATGTAAAACAAGTCAAAAGAGGGATATCCCTCTGAAACCCGCCACGTGGTAGCCGTCACGACACACGCTAAGCTAGAAAAATGGCCGCCGCGGACAGATAACGACAGCTTATGTAGCGGAAACGTGAGGCTTTATGCTAAATTGTGGAAACATGACTCGTTTCCTAAACGTCACACTCAGCGGCCGCGCGGCGCGGAACACGTCACACTTCGACTCAAAAATTTCAAAAGCAAGAATAAGCATAATTACGAATCCCGCGGGCTCTATGTTTTAGCACAGGTTTTATTTAAATAGAAATGCAGGTCGCTTTTTTAAGAGCTTTTTTAAGTTTTTGGTTTTGAGTTCAAATTTCGTAAAAGCATTGTTAAATATTTTATACGTAAAATAAAATCAGGTGATAACATGTTTAGAATTATTATTCTAAAACGTTTTTAGACCACAGGTATTATTATTAAAAGTACCAATAATACCAATAAAAATCTTTTTATACGATAAAAAATATATTAAAACAGGCGTATTTTAATTTTTAAAACAACTAATACTGAAGCTTGGTTATTTTATCATTATTAGATATAGATAATTAAACTATAAAATTTACTTGTTTGTTTGGCGGAATAAACATCAGCACATCCATTTCTTACATTTTATAGCTCTATGTGCTCGCTGTAGCGAGCAGAACAGAATTTAAATGGAAGCGCGTGCTCTACGTCTCTACGTAGCGCCAAATCCACTGCTTTACATATTATTTAGGGGTGATTTGTTACTTGCTGCTGGTCTTAATTGATGATGAACTTTTCGGAATAATATTACAAAGTATTAAATACTTACTTTGCTGTGCCATTTGCATTATTTGTTTTAAATGAAGCGAGATGTTTGTTATTTGTTAAATTTCAGAGAGATAATTTTAGTTGCCTGAGTGTATACTCGTATTATGTATAATAATTGCTGTAAGTGTAAAGCATTCGAAATGTCCGGAATCAAAAATCGAAATTAATCCACAAAAAAATCCAAAAAGATAGTTTAATTTAAATAATAAAATATACTTTTCAAGCAAAAATAGAGTTTAAATTATTTTAATATGTTTTTCCAAAATTCTAAGATATGCAAAAAGCTTAATTAATAAAAAAATACTCTTACTTAATAGAAACTAGCCGATAACTTATAAATAAAAATAGAATTACACTATTATATTCTATGGACTGAACAAAAAATAAACCTATTTCAGCCTAATAAGAATATTTCTTGAAAATCCGTTTAATATGAAAATGTACATACAAACTTAAAATATATTTCATCCATTTTTTATGAAATCGGTTAGAAATATGTACGTAACAGTAAAATAAACATATACAGTTATAAGTTAACTTTGGATGGAATTAAGGAATTACGAAAGTGGTTTGGCAAAACGAATTAAGATCATATCACATAGCATTGTGCGCCCGGTTATTATAACAGGTACTCTGGAAATACCATTCCCTACGAACAGTGAGAGCTGACGTGAACCATATCAATATTTTAAATCTCGCAGCTATATTAAAACCCTTTCACATGGCGAAGTTACAATTATTTTATTATATTATATTTCATTATATTTTATTCTATCTTACTTAATTATCTACGTACACAGTCAACGATGTCAAGTATTTTTTCATAATAATTATCAATATACTCACGAGCGAAGCTTAATTATACTGCGTGATATGCATATTATTATAATGATGTAATAACGAATGTTAGTTTGTACTTTTTTAGCAGGCATTTACATAGAAAAAGGCCATGGATGGAGGAGGCATATAGGCATTTTTTTCTATCCCAGTACGCGAAGAACCGCTGTCTTCGGATAATTTGTGGCTAAAGGCTAGGTAGGGTTACTAGTATTAACATAATGTGTACTTAACGGTAATGTAAAAGGTCCCTTACACGCAGTCTGTGTGGCCGCACTGCGTCCTGCACACTGCACACTGTACATACACAGCTAATCTGTATTTATTACCGACAACGTTACTATGAAACTAGTTATACACTAGACAGTGTACGCGTATCTTATATCAATTCACAAATTGGTTAAATTAGACGTTATTAGTAAGAAAACGATAGCGATTACATGTCAAATTATAATATGCTTTGCGCGATTTGAATATTATATCGCTTGAGCTAATTTTGTTCCTATTTATAGGTATACATTGCTGAACTGTCTCATTACTGTCATGGATTTTTTTCACTTAAAACGTGTCTTACAATTAGTGTCCCTTATGTACGCAACTATACATAGCCTGGATAATATTTTCCTTGCTAACCACAGGATCATCTATGCAAATGAAATAGGAAAAAGCTACTAACTTAGTGCTTTCCACTGTTGGACATGGGCTTTCCTCCAATGCGAGAGAAATTAGGCCATAGTCCACTATGCGATGCAATTACTGGTTTTCCAAAACTTAAGTTTTAGACAAGCAGGTCTCCTCACGATGTTTTCCTCCAGAGAAGTTCGAGTGGTAAACATATAGAAGAGGATTTACCGTGTTTATAAGTGCGAAACCCGAAATTTGAACTCGCGTCCTATGAAAGATCTTTAAATAAGTATAATAAAAATAATAGTTTAAAAACGTGTACATCGGTCATTATCAATAATACTAGCACCGTACGACGGAGCGTGGCGACTGTGGCGGGCGCGGGTTGAATCTTTATTTATTGCAACATGTGACCCGTAATTATTAGCCTACCGGCCATCGCGCCGCGCTCGCTGTAATAAACCCTACTCATACTTACATTTTAACTGGTATTTATTTAATTGTATTGAAGAGCATTAATACCAAATTTCAATTAATTCTGATCATAAATATTTTTTTGTGTTGTATAGCGTATTTTCCCATGGGAATGAGATAATCTCCCGCGGTAAAAAGTAGCCTATGTTACTCTCTAGCCCTCCGACTATATCCACACAAAAAATCACGCCAATCCATCACTCTGTTTTGACGTAAAAGAAGGACAAACAAACATACTTTCACATTTATAATAAGTAAGTTATTTCAATTAGTTTTCGTGATGCACGTTCAGGTTATAAAATCATATATAATAAAATGAGGCAATTTATGTTCAAACTATTATGACTTATTGTATAACACTATACATATATCGTATAACATTATTTTTTTTAACTGCCTCGGTGGTGTAGTAGCTAGCATGTACGGCTGCACACCCGGAGGTCCTGGGTTCGAGTCCCGGGTCGGGCCAAGTTTAGTTATTGAGTCTTTCTGTATAGAAAGTGTCAGTAACAGCCCGGAGTTGGGAAGTTGGCGGTGTTTCACCCCCGTGCCTCGGAGAGCACGTAAAGCCGTCGGTCCTGCGCCTTAACTCTCACTGGTCGTGTCGAGTGTTCGTCCCACCGGAGTATGAGAGTGATAGGAATAGAGAGTGCACGTTGCGTCTGCGCGTACACTTGTGCACTATAATATCTCCTGCGCAGTTGGCTAATCTCAATGAGATTGGCCGCCGTGGCCGGAATCGGCTAGGAGAACATCATCAACATTATTTTACTATCACTTTGATATTTCGTTGTCTTTTTCTTAAGGGTTCAACAAAGAGAATAACAATTACATTTCTGAATTAAGAAATTGTGTGTTAATTTATGCTTTTTCATATATGTACAGAAAGATAACAAAGGTTTTAACCTGAGCTTCTTCTGACTTGAGGAGGTTCTATTTAAAACTTGACACTTTTGTGTTTTTTCACAATCTGAGAAAATAGTTTTGTAGGTATGCAGGTATGTTTTTATGCCCGAAATTTTGATGCATTATTGTAGACGACAGCAATATTAACAGGATACAAAAATTTTGCAATAATATGTTTTGAATAAATCCAAAATTTGAAATGGAATAATCTAGCTTTGACGCGGCTGATTGGAATAATCAAGTTTTGTGCTCTAGAGGAATTATCATTTTTTTATTCAAACCACTGTGGATTAATCTTGTTTTGCTGATATTAATTAGACATCAGAAATCTCAGTTTCCATAAAGGATTCCTGGTATCTTTTATTTTGTTGCAATTTAGATTAAAATAGTTAAATAACTTCTGGATTTATCATATTTCGTTCCAAAAATGTGTATTGGAAATGTGTAATGTCATTTTGACGTGGAATAATCTATTTTTGACGAAATCATGCCTTTTAATATTTTCTTTTTGGTGTAAATATCGAGCTTTGGGCCAATTTTATTTTCGCGGAGTGTAAATTTGAATGTTACCAAACAAAAAAAATTGTTTCATCAAAAGTGGAATAGTCAAATTTTGAAAAGAAGCTCCTCACTTAGTCTTCAAAAGTCCTCCGAGATCTCCTTACTACGCCACAAAATGTATTTTATGAAGTATTGTGAATGATTCATTCTTTCTACGTGCCATATTATTTTTTTAAATCGGAAATGTGTTATTACATATATTATGTACGTCAAGAGTAAAATAAAATAAAAATTAATTAATTAAAAAAAAAATTTAAATATACTCGTACTAATTACCAATTTTAACCTACAAACGTGTAACGTGTCAGATATAATTATAATTTTCCTGTGTCTGAAAGTTCCTTTATTGCAAAATGCGCCAACGTGAAATGCTCAGTTCAACAGTTCGCAGCTTGACATTTATCATTACGGCCTCTATCTTCAACCCACGCTATGTAAGGGCGAGTATAATTCATTGTTTGAAATCATTGCCCAGTCTGTAACAACTTACCTTCTATGGAATTTTGCATTGATCGTCTGGTGAACTGAACTCTAGGCTAGAAGCTGTAGATTCAAATTCTGCTTAAAATAAATATTTTTATCAGCTGTAGAGAACGTCAAGAGCGTTATGTACTTATATTTTTATTTAAATTAAAATCTAAAAGACAAGTTTTTGAATACCATGAATAATATGTTAGTATTGCCTCATTAAAACATATTTATATTGTGTAAAATAGTTGATTCTCTTCCAAACGAGATGTAATGACGTCACATACCACCATACACGTCCGTGGTATATGTGAACACATTATTATGAAAAAAGCCACTGACCTGAGCCGGTGGGCGCGTGGATGCGTGGGCGGACCACGAGAGTATGACCAAAACAGTAGCTTACCTGGAAAGGAACGAGAAAATTCATATGAAATAAAGTATCTAAGTTATAAATGGAGTAGATACTATATTTGTAGGGACTCCTATTTTCACCTTTTCACTCTCATGGATATTTCTAAACCTCATTGTTCCTATTTCCTTAACTAACGAGATGTTGCACGTAATATACGGAAACAGTTTTTTGGCCAAAAATCAAGATAATCACTTTAGGCTAATTTTTGCTATTTTAACACAGACATAATTAGAATTATAATAAGTATGAGTATTTTAAATAAAACTATCTTTTCGGATTTTTTCGCAAATTTATTTGGATTTTTGGTTCTCGACGTTTCGAATGCTTTACAGCAATCGTGGTCACGGGAGAGACTGAGGTGTTAGATGTCTCGAAGGTATAGTTGTTACAGACAGCCTACAAACAAATAACAAAATGAAAATTGCACCAATTACCTTACAATATTTTTTAACTTTAAACATTTTTATAATTTTAATTAGTTTTACAATTGAATGTAGAATATTATTTATTTAATTATTGCTGTTTTTATTAAAATTATTACAATATTAAAAATATTAATTAGTAATCTATATTTGGTGTTGCCATTATTATATTTATAACCATAAAGAAAAATATAAAAAATAGTATTAATTATTTAAGCCATATAAATGTTCTATGTGTAATTTAAAAAGTTAAAATTATTTAAGGATAATAATTTTAATTTAGTATGCTATTATTTAAAAAGACAAATTACTATATACTTTTACAAATGAAAAATATTAATCTGATATGCTGTCATTGATCTACACAGTAAGAACTTACTACATCTATCTGTCTGTTATGTTTAGATGTTGCTTGTCACAGATCACACACCTAGCCGGAGAACTGCAACATGTCAAGCAAGTTCTGCGAGACAACAAGCTGCAAGTGCCGCGCCTACGTCACAGGGACCGAGTGAAACCAGCCACAGTCGAGCGCGTCCCTGCAGTCCTACCTTACATGAGAGGCGTCACTGACAAGATTGGCTACATTCTAAAGCGAGCTTCAATCAAAACTTATTTCAAGCCGCCAAAAAAAATTAGTCAGTTTCTACCACCTGTCAAGTGCCACATCCCTCTACAAGATGCAGGAGTTTACAAGCTTGATTGTGATTGTGGGCTCTCTTACATATATTAGAACCCGGGTCAAAGAACACATAGCTGATGTGAAGCACCGCCGCAATACAAGATCTGCTGTCTGCAAACATAGCCAGGACCGCCCAAGCCATTATTTTCGCTTTGATAGACTTCAAATCCTCGCGAAAGAAAACCGATATCGCCATAGAATGATTCGAGAAGCCATAGAAATTAAAAAACATCCAAATTTCAATAGGGAAGATGGCTCGGTACTACCATCGTCATAGGATCCTGTTATTAATATAATAAAATCGAATGATCAACGAAAAGAGCCTCCCCGAGCGACGTACACAGCCTATACGTTTGGCGCACCCTGGACAATCAGAAATTTACTAACGCTGATTGGCTAATCCTTTCACCACGTTGACATTCTTGCCATCGACAGAAGAAGAAGAAGAAGAAGATATCGACGATCTAGTGAATGTGGAGAGCCGTAAAAAGGTATTAAATAAACATATTTATTTTATCTTTGATATGATTCGATGAAAGTTACTCGATCACGCGATAACACTACAACGAATTTTATTATTATGGTCTTTATATATGGAATTTTATTATTATTATGTTATTTTTTTATTACTTTATTTATTATGGTCTATCTATAAAAGATGTTATCTATGAATATTGTCCCCAAATATTAAAAATGTGCAATTTTGAGAACATAATAATATTATCATTTAAAATGTTAGTATAAAATAACACTAGCGTAAATAAACAAAAGTAACAAACGTGAAGGAAATATATCAGCGGAACGTCTCAGTCGTGTTATAATTGAATATGCGCTAATTTTATGATCCTAATCCAATGCGATTTCACTTTTACGTTCGACTCCAATAGGTACGGTCGTAAACTCGGTCAATTAGACCATGTATCCTTTAATGAATTGCTTCAAACGTGTGTAGGTTTAAATTGTATTGTGTGAAGGTCGCTCGTGAGGATATTAAAGAAATAATACACTTTCCCCGCTCGCTGTGTCGCTATTTAACGCCATCCTAATTAACTTATGTACGAGTAAAAAATATTATTTTGAACAGTAAGCTCTTATATAATTTAGTAAAAACGAATTATATTACCTAATAATGCAGCTTATTTTGTTGTAAGTATACGTATTTTATGGTAAAAACAAAATGCTTAAAGGATATGCAGATAATTTGAGCTTTGGCACAGTTAACTCTCTCGAAATTAAACAATAGTATGTAAAAAACTAGTATTAGAAAATAATAATTTTTATGTTGTTACTTACTAAGGAAATGTAATTATGCTAGTGTTTTAAATTATACAGGAAGTATGTTATTGCAGGATATGTCTCGCTCAGATCTCGTACATCTCCGGTATGGTGAGAAAATTTCCCGAAGGGTTCAAATTCGGTGCATCCACATCTGCCTACCAAGTGGAAGGGGCCTGGAATGTCGATGGTAAGTAATAATTGATGATATTTTTAATAAAAAAAAGGTAATATTACTCTTTATCACGTATATTTTTAGGTAAAACGAATAGCATTTGGGATGAATTTGCTCATAATCGGACTTATTTGATCAGGGACGGTTCGAACGGAGATGTTGCTACAAACTCTTATTATTTATATAAGAGAGATGTGGAAATGTTAAGAGAACTTGGTGTTGACTTCTACCGATTTTCCCTTTCGTGGTCTAGGATTTTACCAACTAGCTTTCCTGATAAAATCAATAAAGCGGGTGTAGAGTACTATAATAATCTTATCGATGAACTTTTAAAATATAATATTGAGCCAGTAGTAACAATTTACCATTGGGATCTGCCACAGAAGCTGCAAGAAATGGGCGGTTGGACCAACCCCCATGTCGTACAATGGTATGCAGATTTTGCTCGAATAGCATTTACGTTGTTCGGCGATAGAGTCAAGTACTGGAACACAGTGAATGAGCCGAGCCAAATTTGTTATTTTGGTTACGAAACGGAATTTTTGGCTCCTGGTTTGAAAATATTAGGAGTTAGTTGCTATTTGTGCGTTAAGAATCTTCTACTGGCGCACGCTACTGCGTACCATATGTACGACAACGAATTCAGACCTCAACAAAATGGAATCATCTTTATAACAATAAGCGTTCTAGATTTCACACCTCTGTGGGAGGATCAAGAAGATGCTGCAAATGTTGCTCATCAATTTGAAGTAAGAATATCTTATTAAATATATTGATTACATATTTAAAATTTAGATACTACAATAATTTTAATTTTTAGTCTGGAATATTCATCCATCCCATTTTCTCGAAGACTGGGGATTACCCACCGTTGGTGACGGCTAAGGTCGCTGCCAAGAGCGCTGAGCAAGGATTTTTCAGATCTAGACTTCCTAAATTATCTCAAGAAGAAATCGAATTCATACGAGGAACTTCAGATTACTTTGGATTAAATTACTATGTTACGCTACTTGTATACAGGGACAAGTTTGATGAAAAACCTTATGAATCTCCTTCAGTTTTAGATGACATAGATATTCGGTTTTATGCTGCACCGGGGTCAAGTATCATGAACTCTACATTGGTAATTAATACACAAATATTTTTACAAATGAGACTATCGTGCTTATAATTTTGCACTGCACAATTGAAAGATAAAGATTGTTTTATATTAAGTTTATATTTGTTTATCGGTCCACCTTTATTAAAAGTTCAATCCTGAGCTATACATATTATTTGAAACGACTAAACAATTTAAGAAACAGGAAGGTGATGGGGATTGCAGGAGAAAGAGCAAGATTCATAATATAATAAAGACTTTGCAATTAAGATATTGATAAATTTTTTAATTAAAACAAACATCAAATAACTTGCGTTATTTATATACTAATAATGCGGTTTTAATTCTAGTCTTTGCCACAAGGTTTCTACGAAATACTGCGGATGATACGAGAAGAGTTCGGCAATCCTCCTGTATTTATAACGGAGAACGGTTTTACTAGTCCAAATACTTTAGTGGATATTGACCGAATCAATAAACTAAAGAGTTACATGTCAGCTGTATTGGATGCTATCGACAGTGGGAGCAACGTCGTAGCCTACACGATCTGGAGTCTCATGGATAATTTTGAATGGTTCAATGGTTATTTGTAAGTTGAAAATATTTACTTATTTCCCCATACACGTGTGATGAAAATACCCCTAAATATATTTGCTTCAAGTTTTTTATTTTAGATGCAAATATGCAACTTTTTTGAAAAAAATAATAATAACAGTCTATACACACGGAAAACGGCGCGGCGGCAGAATAATTAATAATAACTTCATATAGTTTCAGTATTTGCTTACTTGATTATATTTTTGGCTGGGTAGCTGGACCAGTAGGGGGATGGAGCAACCCCCTCCACGTGCGTTCACCTTATCGTGGTACGAAGCGGGGACTGGCTTAACAACGCTGGACGTTAATCCAGCCGGGCGCGAAGCTTAGAAACGCACTGGGAGGCCGCAAACCTCGGTGGGCTGTGTGCTATGCGGGTTGCTCCTGGTACTTCTCTGATAGCAGAGTGGACCGTTGGAGTAACCCCATGGTTGATGTGGTCTGCTTTGGCAGCCTGCCGTCGGGGCGTCGTGGTAGAGTGCGTAAGTTATCCTGCGACGCCCCATTAAGGCCGGGGAGGTTCAATTGGGTACTAGTAGTACTGGCTTTGCCCGGTGAGCCCCACATAATCTGTATACATGCAGGTGGAATGCGTAAATGCATTTCCTAACGTTATAAAAAAGGGGAATGGAGTAAAAAGTCTTGTTAACTTAAGTATTTGAATTTAATTATAATGATTTACAGAGCACGATTTGGACTATACCAAGTGGATTACAATTCTCCGCTGCGCACGCGCACCCCGCGCATGTCTGCTTTCTTCTTCAAGGACGTTATACGAGAGCGCGCTCTCGACCCACTTTGGGCGCAATATGACTTCAGTAGGCCGATGACGATTGACGAGGGACACTAGTTAAACATGAAGTAGATTTGAGCTTAAATAAATATTTGTAAACACCAAATTTCAATATTTATCGTTTTTTTTATTCTATGCCTGTTTCTTTTTCACTTATAAAATATTAACTGTGGTTAATAGCGAAGAATTCAATACTGATAAATGAGTTTTAGTTATTTGAATTACATTAAATTTTTATCGATTCGTTAAATTCTTTAGTAATGAAACTTGCTGGAAAATTTTATTTATACTTGTTCAAATATTTCTATAGTGTATATTATCATGGTCGAATGATAAGTGAAACTCTATTATTTATATTTAATATATATTATAATTAAACAAAAAACATAATTTTACTACTATGCGATTGAGATCTAGGGACTTGATTACGTTATCACTGTGCTATAATACATACTATCCATATCCATACTAATATTATAAATGTGAAAGTGTGTCTGTTTGTTTGTTTGTCCTGGCTGGAGAGTGATATAGGCTATTTTTTACCGAGGGACATTATCTCATTTCCACGGGAAAACTCGTTATAATACAACCCAAAAAAATATTTATGATCAGAATTACTTGAAACTTGGTATTAATGCTCTTCAATAAAATTAAATAAATACGTGCTTTAGCATTTTTCGAAATTCATCCCATAAGAGGGTAAAATAAGGGTTGAAAGTTTGTATGAAATCTACTTTTTTAGATTTTTTTTGTACTTTTATCGCGAGCGAAGCCGCGGGTTCTGCTAGTATTATAATATAACTTATAGTACACAGTTTCTATTTATGTAAGGTCAAGCTATATATTTTATTCTTCCATTATTAATAAAAGAAATCAAATGTATATGTTCTTAAAAATTCTTTAATAATAGATAAATATATTATTGTTGAACAATATATTATGCAAGTACTGTGGGTGAGATCGGATCTCTTTCTCTTCTTTGTACTGACTTGGCACGCATTGCAGTGGCGCACTGCGTCTGTGCCCGCGAATTGTCCTGCGAATAAGCGCCGCGAGATCTAATTAAATTTCAAGGTTGAAATATTTTGAAAACTGTCAGTGTATTTGTATACTTGTTCTAAAAACTTCTATTTTTCAACAGTAGTCATGAAGAAGGTTGTGTTCTTTGAAAATGTTACGTAAAATTCGAGACAAGAATATTTTAATATTTATTACTAGCAAATCACCCTCACTTCGCTCAGGTTCGTCCCTAGATATGTTTTGACGCTTAGTATGAAATATATTTTTTTTTGTTTTTGTGATTTTTTTCCAATGTTTTAATAGTTATTCTGCTATTCGGGATGAAGACAAATCCAACAAAACAAAAATCAAAAAAATCGGTCCAGCAGTTCTCGAGTTATACGTGTTGTAACACATCTGACTTTGTTTTACGAGTATATACCTATATAGATTAATAAATATTATTTATGAAAAATAATTATCATCAGCAAATAATGTGTTACGAGTATATCGAATTTCAACTAGAGCTGCCCAATCCACGCGCTCGTACACAAATCAATTGTCATGCTCAGTAGGTACTTGTGGACTAATATTTTAAAGATTTAAAGATTTTTATTAAACATAATAACATACATATTAAAAACAGTTAGGTCGTAAGAAGCTGCATTAGTATAAACTGTGTCGCAGCTATTTACGCCCACCTCGGGACAATAAGGACAGTTATGTTCTAAGGTTAGTACAAGTATATTATTAGGGTGTGTTAGCAGAATTAATTACTATTATAATGATGTTAATTTAGTTTAAGCTTATATTTATAATTTATACGAAGCCTTAGGAGATGAAGATAGAACAATCAGGTTGGTAAGTTTTATAGTAGCGTAAGTACTACACTATATAATATAACATATTATAATATTAGTTTACATAAGGAAGCAAAATCAATCGTAGAAGCTAGTTTAGTGAGTTTAGGTATCTATTTCGTATGTAATAAATATTCAATTATAAGTTTTTCGTGTACTCAATCATCTGTCCAAGGGACTGTTTTTTAACTTTCCATCCACATTATTATGTACATCATTAAACTATAATTTATATCGCGTGCTATTACCAATAGAATCAGCTTGCATTACATAGTCTATTAATCGTGGCATGAGGTATTTCAAATACGAAGTAAATACAATTCATATTACGAATTCTCAAAATGATCACTTCGTGTAAATTATTTTATATAAGTTCAATTATAAATCAAAGCCGACGACTCTTAGAAATAACGTACATTTATTAACTATTATAGTTTAACTCAATGCTAAGTACTATAATTCTGTTTATTACAGTACATATTTTACATTTTTCTATTTTCATCTCCATATATTTGCATATATTCGTCTTTCTTTTGTACGGCTTTCATGTGAGCACTATAAATGTCTAGAAAGGATAGAAAAACAATGGCATCACGAATAATAGCGGGATTTTGTCTAATGGCGATCGTGGAACCGCATGTGCGTTGGCGCGAGTCCAAGCGCCCGCGCTCGCGGCGCAGGGGTGGGATGCTGTCTTGAGATATTTACTGCCTATTATGCTTTCAAATACTCTATTTAAAACTTCTTTTCTATTTTAATTGTACTTTAATTGTAACAAATTATGTTTGCAGGTTAATGTGGTACAAATTGGATACCAGAGCAATTTATTCTGTTGTGAAACGATACGATTACGATATGTTGTATCGGTTATTTAATTGATTTAAAATATTTACTGAAAAATTACTCTTCACAATGCAATATTTTTTTTGTTTTTAAAAGAAAAATGGATACTTTCCTCTTTTCTCGAGCGAACCGTCCACAAATACGAATTCCTGGACGTGGGCGAGATAGCAGCCCTACTTGTCAGAGGGTTTTATTTGCGCCGCCCGCCGTCCGAGTGTAACTCGCAACTTTACAACCGCTCTCTTGATTTACGTCTGCACCTAATAAGAGTAAAGAGATATGTGCGCCTCTTTACTTTTTTTGCAGCTTGATTCATACAATTGCATGTCAAAATACATGCCACTATAAATTTCGATGTAATAAAATATGTGAACCATATTTAGTATACTACGTATATATTAGAAACGTTTCAATACTTTGTGTCTACTAGCATGTCGTACATTGATTCTAGCTCTGAGCTAGGATAAAGTCTTAGAGTTTTGTTAAAAAATAATTTGGCAAAATTAAGTGTGCTAATATTGCAGTATGACGAGTAAGTGCGACTTTCTATTTTTATTAGATCACAAAATTATACAATGCATTCTCTTTTTTGGAAAGTCGGTAAATAATAACTCAACCGCCTTCCCGAACGTCCGCATCCGACATTGGCAATATATCGGGAGCTTAACTCTACATTCGGTTATCTGAGCGACGCACCACGCCGGCCGCCGGCCGCCGGCCGCCGGCCGCCGCGTCGTATCGGCGCGCGGCCGATTTAGACTCCCCTACTTTATAGCCCGCTAGTGACCGGGTCGCCTGTACAGTGTACAGTGCATGCACCTACTGTACAATATACACTGTACACTGTATAGATGATGTTTTGTTTAGATACTTAGTTAACACTCTGTTTGTTATTTATTATAATTAAAAATATGTTATCATAAGTAAATATAAGATAATAATAGGGCGAAAAGATTTTTTTACATTATAATTAATCTTTTTCAATAATTATCCTAGGCTATATATAGAGTTATATCTTTCGTTTTCGTGTCTAATATTATTTTGATGTTCAATACCAGAAATTTACGTCAATTTTATATTTTATATTCTTGCGAGCCAAGTACACAGAGTACATAGAGGCTTCGTAATATGGTATTTGCTTTTCTCTAATACTTGATATAAGATATTTTTATCTTGTCGATGTAGATGATAGTAGCGTTAATAACATAACTTTTACATACATATTTCTATTATTATAAAAATGTAAAAAAATATTGTTTTAATTTATTAAAATTTTATATTTTAATTCAGAAGGCTCTTCCCTTTTTTAGTAATTATTATCTACATATGCGACCGTCGTAGGGATCTTACTCAATTACCTGATGTACTACTCGAAAAATTACTACTTCCGCGAGTTTTCTTTGTGTGTTGTTTATTGTCTTTTCATCGCTCATTCTCATTTCCCTTCTACCTTCATGCAAACCTTCTAAAAATCTGAGCATATTTTTTTTCTTAGAGCATATCCCTCCACATTCATATGTTTAGAAAATCATATAATTAATATCAAAATCCAAACTCAATGCTATGTTTTATTATATTTTCTATTAATATAAGAGATTATTAATTACTGTAATATTTAAGGTGTCCATTATTTTAATGCACAAACTCATTTTACTTTGAAAAGCCAATCGAGTGTAACAATTTCATCTCAACCCCGATTTATTTAGAATCCTTTATCTAACGCGTCTCATACTTCATTAGAAGATTAAGACGGAGTACATCTGTCTGCATAATTTACTACGGCTATTCTGCTAAACAAACATTAACGCGTTACGTGGAATTGACAAAAATAGTCTGAAAATAATAAAGTATAGCAGATAAAAAATACGTTTTGAACACGTGTCTTCTTGTCACAATATAGCCCAGTGGTAACGCGCCCGCTTGGAAAACCGAGTGAAGTGGGTTTAAATCTCGGCTCTCACACCTCTGATATTTTCATGTGCGAATTATTTCCAAGATGATTACCACTTGTATTAAGGTGAAGGAAAATATCGTGAGGAAATGCATGTCTGAGAGAACCTAAAAAGTTTTCGAAAGACATGTAAAATACGCCAACCCGCATTTGGCGAGCGTGGTGGACTATGGCCTGATCCCCCTCGTATTGAAGAGAGGCCTGTGCCCAGCAGTGGGACGTTAAAAAAGGCTGAATACATATTTTACTAGTGACCTCTTCTCGCGTCGTTTAGCTTCTTAAAATAATATCTATGTTACCATTGGCTTTACGAACTTTTTCCAATATATAAAGATCCTACGAGATCCTCTTTGTGCTTAACAGATATAGATTTAAAATCTATCTGACAAGCTATCATTCTATTAGAAAATAATATTATTGTCTTTCTGCATTATCCGGTCATACTTCATCGAATAATAAAGTGATATAGTAATAAGTACTAGAATTAGTTGGAGTAATATTTGCAATTTCTAAACAGTCTTAAGCCAGTCAAAGGAAGCAGAAAATATCTAAGATAATACACACAATGTAAAAGTGGTGCATTTTTATTATTAGACCAATATTATCGATACAACTGCCATTAAAGATTTTCCAATACATATTGCATATGTATACGAGTTCAATTGAGATGTAGCCTACTTTTTTATATTTATTTAACAACTCAAGGAAAACGCGACATATTTTTTCTCACATGTACATCGATCGTTGAAACAGCACAAGGCTGCACATTGATCACTTTCACTTTTTGTTTCGTAAATCACTAAAGGTTGGAATTCATTTGCGATATCGCCGTTTGCTATCCATAACTGTCGAGGAGCGCGCGTCGCGTCATCCGAATTATTTGTAACGAAAATACTCACAAATAAACGTTATTGAAGCAAACTGAAGATGTAAAAATATATGGTCGATATTTGTAAGGACTTACATATTAAAATATTAATAATTTTTTTGTGAAGCTAATCATAGACAGCTATAAATAAGCTGAGAATATGTTTTTGATTTCATACAATCATTAAGTAACTTAAAGAAAATATTACATTATTTAGATAGTCATTAAATTTGAACTTCTTTATTTAAATTGAAACAAAAATACTTCTTAATAAGAAGAAAAGCATGCAACTGTAAAGATACATATACGTGTTTATCTTTTTTTTGTATCACTGATAGTATTTGTTACACTTACTTCTCATGTGCTAGATAAAAACAACTACAACAGATTAATAAAAGCAAACCAATAACCTTTTATTATTAGAAGGTATTTGATGGAGCAAAATGAAGCAGTAGCGTCCAATATCGCACATTTCAGCTCATGAATTTGGAAATCAGTTCGCTGCAGTCTCGATCGGTTCGGCTCCGACCGGATTGTGTAAACAGCACGCTTTGTGCTGTAACTTGGCTATCTTCTCTCATTCCTACTTTCCTTTCCTATAAATGGGAAATGCAAACTGGATTTGTTAAACTTTGTCTTTCTATACCTACATTCTCCTGTCAAAACTACTTGCTTGCTACTGTAGTACTTTCATTGAATCATTTTTTCAGTCCATCTCGATATAGTATGATAAAGCTGAGGATGATTGCTTCATTTTTTCTATATCACAAAAGTAAAAAAAGAAACGGCTAGTTTGCTAGTGGTGTAGTGGCTAGGATGTACGGCTGCACACCCGGAGGGTCGGGTCGGGCCAAGTTTAGTTACTGAGTCTTTCTGTATAGTAAGTCTCAGTAACAGCCCGGAGTTGGGAAGTTGGCGGTGTTTACCCCCGTGCCTCGGAGACCGTCGGTCCTGCGCCTTAACTCTCACTGGTTGTGTCGAGCAGTCGTCCCACCGGAGTATGAGAGTGATAGGAATAGAGAGTGCACTTGTGTCTGCGCGTACACTTGAGCACTATTATATCTCCTGCGCAGTTGGCTAATCTCAATGAGATTGGCCGCCGTAGCCGGAATCGGCTAGGAGAACATCATCATCATCATCAATATTCTTAGTCTGCTCCGAAACAAACTGCAAGGGATAATGCGAGACAAAGCGTACTTGTATTATTATTAGCAGCGGGTTTTCGATGAGGAAGAGTACTGTCCCGGTCGAGATATACAATATACATTTAATAAAACTAATAATTCATATAAATTAACAAGTTCCTGTCATCCGTTGCTTCGACAAGTTGTTATAAGTTTGTGTTTAGTGTTAATTATGTAATAGCAAAAATATAGTTTCAAATACCACTATCTAAAGTATGCAGCATCATCTTAATATTTATTTGTGATTAGATCTTATAATTTACGCAACAGATTTAGATATGGTTTTCACTATCGCTTAGAAAATTTCTTCAGAAAGAATTATACGCATAATACATAATATTATATATAGTAGATAAGTGAGTAAAGAAAACTTGATGTAACAAAACATCATGTAATCAAGCGAAGAAATTGCCGGTCATATATTTAAAAATACAGAAGACATCTAGGAATGCACGAGCGAAATGTGGGTAAGTCACTAGCACAATAATATAAAATATTCTGTTAATTATAAAATAATTCATTGAAATAATATTACTCGTATAATTATTTAAAAAATCTTTATTAAAAGCACTTACTATAGAGTCTGTTGTAACTCTAAATACAGTACAATTTTCAAAACAAACTCATTTGCATATGAGGCGATCGAACGCAACGACCCTCGCGACTTAAAGGGGACACAAAATATTGGACACGCGAGCGGCATTGGAATAGCGGCAGATTTGCGCAGCAGCGAAACTGTTCCATGTTATATTTCTATACTTGTTTATTGCAGCTTGTTTTGCTGTGAATTATGATTATATGCCCCACTAGAATATGTACATGTTATTTTTAAAATTACTTCGAAAAAATAGGTTCTTATTTGGGTCTATTATTTTGACTGCGGCGAAGCCCAAAATATATATATATATACGTAAATAAACTGCAAACCACAAGTTTCTGACTGGAAAATTTTACGCAGTTGGGTCTTATTCTTTTTGATTTTTTTTTATTTGTGTACGCTACAACAAATACTCGGTAAACGGTGTAAGAATGATACCTACTCTAATATGAGAACAGCTAAATGGATGGACACAGAATGTAAGTCAAATAGATGACCTATTCTGGCTTAGAGCTTCTGGTTATACAAGTAGATCCGTAAAAAAATGAAATTGGTAAAATATTTTCACTGTTAAAGATCTTTCAATGGCAAAACATACAGACAAAAAATTTCCACTGTATAATATTAGTACGTACCCGCTACACCGGGTAATGCATTTTTGATATTCCTCCGCGTAATTTCTTCGCTGCCCATCTGCGGCACGACTTCCCGTCATTATTCTTTTTTCACTCAAAACATTTCAATTGCATAATTGCTTTAGAATTTATGGGATAACTGGCCTTCATCTATGGAGTTCAATGGGGAAAGCCGTGGAATGATTTAATAGTAAGCTATAATTTATTTCGATTAATCTATTGACTCACGATTAATTACATATTTTGCTAAAGCTCAGCGTAGCTATTCAAAAAGACAATGAGGCGAACCTTTTCAGTACTTTCCTTTTTGATAGTGGTGGCGTTTCCTTTGTTAACCGACTTCCAAAAAGGAGGAGGTTCTATATTCGTCTGTATGTATTTTTTTATGTATGTTCACCGATTTCTCGGAGACGGTGTAATCGATTTTGCTACTTTAAACGTATAATATAATATATATATATAAAAAATAATAAATATATTGTATTAAGGTAAGTCTTGAGGTGGCCCCATATATTTTTTTCGACAGAGAGTATATCGTTGTCAATCAATATAATTATAATCATAATAATCAATAAATATTTAATAGTTTAATAAGACCAATAATAAGTTAGAATTGAATTTTAGAGCCAAATTTTTAGCTAATAAAAGTGAGTTTCTTAGGTATATTAGTCTTTATATAAAATTTGGCAGTATACTAACATAAATGGCTTAATAGAATATAATATAAATAAACTTTCTTCTTACAAATTACCTGCGTATTACGCCTACACTAATGGAAAATATTTAAAAAAAAACGACTTCCAGGCCCTAAAATGTAAAAATAACTAAACGGGGGTTTTCATTTAGAATAGATACCTAACCAGATATTTTCGAAGACGGTGCCAGCCGATGCAAAGCAAAGAATATTTATTTCGATTCATAATACATCACAAATTGATGTATAATATTTTAATTGTAATTAGATTTCATACTTGTCACATTTATCTATTAGATATTCATATCTTAAACTTCCGACTTCGGAACGATAACGAATATGAGTTACTAGTATATAACAACGAAGGAAAGGATAGTACCTAAATATAAATATGAACTGCCATTTCCAAAGCCAATATTCGCTATATTTATTCGAGGTTATGCTTTTTATATTATTTATTGAAACATGCAGGCAAATGTTCAAAGTGACCGAGGGAAAAACTTCGTACGTGTTCCGAATGCGACGCCAAATGAAGACGCGTTATTTACCGAAGTGACCCCTATAAAAGAAACGCTTTCAGGATTGTGCCCGCGTCTGATCCTTGAATTTTAAACGAGCCTAACAAACGCCACTATTTTACTGATTTCGGGAGGAGGCCGTATCCGCGGGGAATACTAAATGCAGCTCGATGTTTCGACTTTTAGTTTCTTTGCTCCGTAGCGAGTACTGACGACTGGCACAACTCTATCAAATGTGCGTTTATAATGCGCTATCTATAAGTTTTACAATTTAAAGAATTATTATTATTATACATTTTGAAGAGACTTTTGACTCAATAATTAATAAATCCAGCTTACAATGTTTTACATCTTTCATACTTGTTATTTCGTGCCTGTTTGTGTGTGTTGTGTATTGTTTAGAAATGTCGTCATGGGTACCGTATGACGAGATTTTCTTGATTTTTATAACTCGCTATTTCAAAGGAAAATTAAAAATAAATAAATTATATTCTTATTATGACCTCGTATTTATATGTTTTTGTTTAAATATATTCTTCCATGTGAATTCGTAAAATTCTAAATAGTAGTGATTCAATAATCACTATGAGGGCTGTCATGGAACAATGATTGTATAGAACTAGCACTAGATCTACTTATATCTTTGCGATTTTACACTCGTAAAATTTTATAAAATCAAATCCCTTTTGCGTCAGCCACTTAGAATTTACATCTTCGATGACCGTAAACTATAATTTTCCTATGTCATTAACATACTAACTGTTAGTGTCCCATGGACCATGGTTTTAATCGTGAGCGACTCTATATATATAGAGATACTTCTGTGGGCGTAAATTAGCGCTATTATGACAGGCCTGAAATTAAATTGGCCATATTTGAATCATTCGATTGTTGGGAATTTATGCAGCTGTGATCTAAATCAATGGCGGATTGGCTGTTATAGCGTGCGGTGTTGAGTGTCGACAGCATACGTTACGTATATTGTTAATGGTGTATATTAGATCGCAATTCATTTATAATTGGACGCATAGTTTTGTTTGATAAGTACGTGGTAATTAATTACACCCATTAATATGATTGATATTTGGATTTATCATACAGATTTTTGGTAATATTTTTATAACGACAGCAAGATAAAGATACCTATATTTTTTGTCTCCATCGCGCTCCTGTTGTTTGTTCTCATTACTTTTACCTTAAATGTACATAAAAGTAACTGGTACGCTTAAAAACCATTAAAAAGGAAACTTGAATGAAGATCCTTTCATCGTGTTCTCTCAACATAATTAAGGTCTGAATAGGTCGTAGCGATATGGCCGCCCAAAATTGTAAGACATTTACAATAATTTGTACGACGCAAGTTGGGAAGTTGTCCGAGATAAAATTTCGTATGTAAACATGGACCAGATAGATGTTCAGGCTTAAGGCCGTGGGCCTGGATTATATCAATAAAATGGCGATGCTTTTTTTGCTGTGTCTAAAAGTAGTAGTATGTACTTTATATATATAATGTGTATAATGTGTGTTTGTTATTCTTTTACGCTGAAACGGCTGAATAGATTTGGAGGAAATTTAAGAATTGAGTAACAAACACTTTAAGGCACCTGGAGAAGCAAGGATAAGTCGCTTGTGTATAATTTATGTACAAAAATATTCGCAGATTTTTCCGAAATATAATTTCGAGTTAATATTGTATACAGTAATTAATGACAAACCGAACCGATGAGTAACGGTAATGAACCGCTCGTGACTGCGAATAGCGACCGCTACTAATTATGTTTTAGTGGGCATTGTGCTGGCGTCGAGGCGACCTCGACGAGATGTTGGCGAGATGTGGCGGTCTTGCAGTTTGCTTTGTCTTTATGTTAAGTATCTCGTTACAATTGTGTCGATGGCGTCAGTGAACTTTGCTGTAGTTAAGTGATAATTCATTATCTTATTCGATCTTTTCCTCTAGTAATGCTTTAAAGCTACGTGAAAAGTACTAAAAATAAGTTGCAGAAGAAGTAAGAATCCTCTGTTGTGCGTTTTAACCATTCTATTTGACGCTTTTCTTTCTTAGCAATCGATATTCGCTTCATATTATGTATGTCTTTTGTGTTATAGCAATATTATAGATCTTTATTTGGAACCCTTTAACATGATCAACGCATTTTACATAGAACTAACTTTTCGAATTTTTCGCGGATTTATTTGGATTTAGGGAAACAAAAAACAAAATAAATCCGCGAAAAAATCAGAAAAAATAATTTTATTTAAAATGTCAAATATTCGCGTAAATCTAAGAAAGTATTATGTTGATCAACGCAAGTGGAATAATTACACTTTTTACCATTATACTTTTCCTTGAAAACGTATGTTTAGTACTACGCCATTAAAAACAAAGTATATGTATAGATTTGCACTCACTTTAATGAGAACAATAAGCAAGTTTCATAGCATTAGACTAAATACGGTTATTTCGGAACAAGTTAAAATCATTTTAGTATGTAAAATAATAAGCCCTAACATAAAGTAAATAATATTTACTTTCGTTAATTTGAAAATTTGCTCATATCGTTTTTTATAGTGCGATGTGAGTAAAAGGGAGAGTTTACATCGGCAATTTTTTTGTGAGTCATAGTTTATACGACATCGGTACGTTTTATTGTTTTCCTACGAAATTGAAATGTACGAACCCCTCTTTGGCATTCAATTTATTAGTCATGGGAGTTTAGTTATTACTAACAGTTATCTCTAATGATAATGATCTACAAAATATTGTGATGCATTTGTACATATAGGTAGTGTTAGCCCAATGGTAACGCGCTCGCTTGGGAAACTGAGTGAAGTGGGTTCAAATCTCGGCTCTCACGCCTCTGATATTTTCATGTGTGAAGAAGCCTGCATGTCTGAGAGAACCTACCAAGTATTCGAAATACAGTGAAGTCCACTTATCCGCACTTGGCCAGGATTGTGGATTATGGCCTTAACCTCCTCGTACTGAAAGGAGGCCCGTACCCAGCAGGACGTTAAAAAAGAACTGGATGTGATACAATTTGTACATATATTTACATGAAATATGTATTAATAAACGTACGTATGCCGTACGTGTGTAGTACAACCCTGCATTAAATACCGTAACAAATTTGTAATATGTGAATAAAAAAAATATGTGAATCTCGTTGGTCTGGTGGCTGGCGTGCACGGCGGCAGGTCCGGAGCCAAAGTCGGTTAGGAGGACAGTATCTGAATATTGAATATGGATAAGTTATATTAATATAATAATTATATGTTTTTAAAATAGAGTATGTATATAGTGATAACGGATATGAGTGAATGGAAATCGTTTCTGGAGTATGATTTAGGTGATTCCACTTAGGTTATGATTTCTAACTATATACCCATCACGTTAACGAAACCTTGGGCACATATTTTAAGAATACGTTAACTATATATAATAAAATTATTTTAAGAGAATTTCTCATTCGCAAACATAACTTAGCATAATAGACGACTGATGTGTGTAAAGTTTTAGTGGGAGCTCATTTGCGTTGCTCTCTTTACTTATAGAGACGTAAAGAGATGTAATTTTACTTCAAGGATACTTTACAGCCGGTGTGTGTCAGATCGTCAGGCTGGCCGCGCATGTATGGGAGTACAATAGCTTGGTGTAAAACTATTTCTATTGTCGTTTTAACGTACGCCGAGAGCGTGACGAAGCGTGTTGTTCCATGCTGCTGTTTTATTTGAATGAAATAGGCACGCATAAGGATTTTTAAAAGACTGAGCCATTTATTTATTTTTGTACAGTACATGGTCTTTTTCAAATAACTTAGGATATATGAGTGTGTGTTAAATAAAAAACAATAGAATTAAATGAAATGTAGTTTAAATAATATTTATTTTTCCTTAACGAATTTGCTGCGATGGCATTTTATTAATTTTATTACGTTACAATCAAAACGTAATTAGTGGCTTTTTTATTCTAATATTATCTCAATGTGTAATTATTTAATAAATATTTTTGTATGTAGAGATATTTTAAGTAAGCGTGACACGTACAGTGCAGTGGATATACTTTAAGCAAGCATGATATCTTGAAGTTCAACAATCATCAGAGTATAAAATTATTTTCCATATAAAATATTCATTTTCTGACCAATTTTTTTGGAAGTTTAAATTTTTTTCCTTTGGAGCCAAAATTCATAGAAGAAGAAAAGATCACATAGACGAAGTCGATGCATGTCGCTAGCTCTATCTAAGCCTTAACAAGGATTTGAATGTTTCCATAATAGTTAATGCTATATTTAGCTAGCGATGCACATTGCACGACGCACGTAGCGTGGTCATGAATCAGAGGGTAATTTGCAGGCGGCGTCGCATTGTGGACTAACTTTATTATTATGAACTACGTAATTGTCTGCGAATACACTGTTAGCTACTTACTAGAGCATCTGCTGTTTAGCTCTATACGCTACGTTAGCCGTATACCCATAACTAACATAATATATAAAATTTAGTAACTAATATGATAAATATTCTTCACGTTGTATGGACTCAATTGATCATGATTTAGTTAGGCACTTATGTTTATGATATAATGAGCGGTATATTATGCATTATGTATAAGGTAATATTGGTAATTGATAGGTAATAATGTTATTGAAAGAAGGCAGTGGTAGCCCAGTGGTAACGCGCTCGGTTGGAAAACCGAGTGAAGCGAGTTCAAATCCCTGGTCTCGCACCTCTGATATTTTCATGTGCGAATGATTTCCAACATGATTACCACTTGTCTTAACGGCGAAGGAAAACATTGTGAGAAAACTTGCATGTCTTAGAGAACTTAGCAAGTTTTCGAATGACATGTGAAGTCCACCAACCCGCATTTGGCCAGCGTGGTGGACTATGGCCTGATCCCCCTCGTATTGAAGGAAGGCCGACCCCCAGCAGTGGGACGTTAAAAAAGGGCTGAATACATACATACATATAATGTTATTGTAATGAATACTCTAATAGATTAACGAAGTGAAAAGTGAGTGAGGTACGAAATATATAATATATAATAAATGAAGAAATATATAATATAATATAAAATATATAATAAATATATAATAAATGAGGCTTAGGTCGATAATGTAAACCATTTGTTCGAAACTAGCTGACTTGATGATTCTGCACAAATTACAATAATTTGTTTGTGATTTTTAAGTCTAAACGAAAATAACACAAAACAGTACTTTCGGTTTTTCCCGAATATCGTAATTTTAAAGCCAACATTTCCTGTTGGTTTCCCTAAAGCCTCATTTAATACTATTTAAGTTACAGTTCAAAAGAAAAAATAGCCGAATCTGTCCAGAACACTTGAGTAATGCGGTTACTAACAAACATTTTTTTTTTAATTTATATACTTTAACATAGTGTGTCTAAATAATTGAACTACGACCCTATATTTTCTACCTCAAAAAGGTATATTGTAATAGTGATTTCACTGTTAAATAGATGCTAACCAGTAGGAAGGCATGTAAGGGACAGAAAGCTACATGGTATTGAAGCGAGCTCAGACGCGTTCGTAAGTAACGCGTTTAGCGCACGGCACGCTGCTAATTGCTTCTATAGAGCCCTTGTCTGAACTACGCCCGAGGTGGTAGAGTGTTAGCCTTGCAAAGATAACAAAAGTATAATTAAACAGCTATTCAGCTGTAAACTTTATATATTCTATACATATAGATATTTGTTTCTGTGTACCAGTAACTCGAACAGTAGAACAAGATACCTTTTGCTCGAATTCAAACAAAACGAGGGTGGTACTCAGTTAAATAATTTTTAACTTGCTGTTTCTTTTTAATTTTTATGCTATAAAATATAAATATAATAGGTTCGTATCATAGATTATTAATTGTTTAAATTATTAATTATTTTTGTTATAAAATTATATATTTTTTAATATGTAATTGTAATGAATTAATTATTTAAAAAATTTAATTGGAACTATTGTATACTATTAATTAATACTAATGTGATAGCCTGTAAAAGCAGCAAGTTGTAACTACCTATAATTAAAAGTGCAATTATCATGGTAAATTATATGTAAACTAAGTTTAAGTATTATAATATTGTAACTTTTGTTGGTAGTTCAATAAATAAATAAATAAATAAGCTAGAGCAGTAACGTATAAATTTCTATAAAAATTCCATCATCATGGTGGACTATATTTAAAGTGTTGACATATAAGGTTATTATTTCCTCTATATTTCAATTATATCTTTCCGAATATCCCATGATGGTGTTAGTTTGTGGCAATTGTAGCAAAAGAATTTGGGATAGATTTAGTAATTTTCAAAAAAAAAAACACCTTTATAATAAACTTCATATCTTTGCGAGCAAATACCAAACTAATATAAGTTTAGTATATTTCATCAAGATTGATATGATAGGGCGTGGGTAGTATTGTATAATGGCAATGAGGCACAGATTACAGTTAACGTGGCAGCGTACACTGTACAGGTAGACGTTGGCGGATATCGCCTGATGCAGTAATACGAGTAATTGGCTCAATTGAGATCTCAGCCTGACTACTTACTGCCTTCTATTAGATCTATTACGCTATATGTGACCTATGTCGATGTTTTAGGTCTCACGGAAGATAGAATGTAATAGGTATATAACTATATATAGTACTAGCATTGCCCGCGGCTCTGCCCGCGTTCAGATGACCAAAAACCAAATTCTTAGGTTTTACATATTAGTATACTCTTACATTACCATTTTTGTATTTTTTCTCGGAAATGAGATATTTTCCCGCGGTAAAAAGTATTCTATATATTGACCCGGATAACTACCTATCACCATACCAAATTTCATCAAAATCCTTCCAGTGGTTTTCCATTGATGCGGTAACAGACAGACAGACAGACAAAAATTCTAAAAACTATAGATTCGGCCTCTGTATCGATAATAATGTTTATTTCAATAAGATTTTCCAAAAAATATCTAAATTCGACTTAGTTACACTTTTATCATATGTATAGATAAGCTATTTATCGATAGTAGAAGTTTAATGTGAAATAAGAAAATTAGAAATAAGTCCTAAATATAAGTTATTTTTATTCCGAATTGCACTCCAAGGATACACAAGATACAAATATAAGGCACAAACTTGGCATTTTGAATATAAATGTAATATATCTATCTGTTAAAAAAACAGAAATAAAGTAAATAATCAATTTATATGATTTAATATTTTATTATTGTTTATTAAATAGTCCAAAAATAATAAAAAAAGATTTTAGCACAAAAGCTAACACTTTACAGCTAAGTTCAGATCACATGTAGCTTTAAGTGATATTGATCGATTCCCTCTAGGCGTTGATATGATTGTCTGGTGCGGTAACGTGCTTAGAGCGACGTGCGAGCGCGAGTAGCAGCGTGATGTATGGAGCGTGAAGCGTGCAGCGTGCATGAGGTGAGAGGCGTGAGGTGTCGCACTCTCGTGTAATTGCACTAATTGACAAACTACGTCTGATGCATTGTAGGTCTCTCTAGGTATGGGAAGGTCGATATGCTATTAGTATCTATTTGGTAATTAGGTGAATAATTTGATATAAAGCTTTAAAAGCATAGGTGGCTATTTCTTAGTGTTTTGGACTCGGAATAGAATACTCTGAAATAAACCAACAAAGAACATTTACAACGAAAATTATATTATACCTGGTATTACAATAACACTCAATAATGAAATGGACGCTTCTATAAATGGACATTTGTAATTGTTTGATAAAATTATGGCAGTTTCGATACTGATTTGCTGCCTGTATAGATATTTATGAAAATGAAGCTTTTCCTGCTTGCAATAATTGATATTCCAAATGGGGATATAACTGTATAGTAAAATTATGAGTCATCTTGCGTTTTGTTTAGAACACCCTACTTTCATAAACACGCGAGTTCATTGTAAAATAGTTAAAATACTATTCGGACCGGTTATACCAATGCAATTCTTGATTTAACTTGTACAGTTTTGACACATAATGCCTTTCAATGCCAATATGTGGCACAGGTCGAGCTTTACAACGCTTGGGAGAGTAATAATTATATTTATATGGAAAACGTTTATGTTCTAAAACCTAAAAGCATCGGATATTTATTACACAAATATTATAATTTTATGGTTTTTATTCATATATTAATTGATACGAGGGTGATCAGGCCATAGTCCACCACGCTGGCCAAGTGCGGGTTGGCGGACTTCACATGTCTTTTGAAAACTGGCTAGGTTCTCTTAGACATGCAGGATTCCTCTCAATGTTTTCTTTCACCGTTAAGATAAGTGGTAATCGTCTTGGAAATGTGTCGCACATATATTGGAATATATAAGAGATGCGAGAACCGGGAATTGAAATCGCTTCACTCGGTTACCCTAGCGAGCGCGTTAGCGAGTTCGAATGCTTTACAGCATTCATGGTCACGGGAGAGACTGAGGTGTTACATGTCTCGAAGGTATAGTTGTTACAGAAAGCCTATCCACAATTAACAAAATGAAAATTGCACCAATTACCTTACAATATTTTTTAACTTTAAACATTTTTATAATTTTAATTAGTTTTATAATGGAATATGGAAAATTGTTTATTTAATTTTTGCTGTTATTATTATAATTATTACAATTTTAAAAATATTAATTAGTAATCTATATTTACGAAACGTCGGGAACCAAAAATCCAAATAAATCCGCA